CAGGGCTTGTTCTGGGTTTAAAAACAAAACAAAGCAAAACAAAAACCACCCCCACCCCCAAACACTGTTAGACACATTTCTACTCTTCCCTTGGCCCCAGCAAGAGATTCAGGAATAAAGTCTTTGACTTTAATGCCCCAGCCCTTCCCTGCAGCCCTGTGGAAGGAACTGAATAGCAGCATATACACATCTCCTCAGCCTCTCAGGTTTTAAATTTTCATCCTTACTTTTTGAAAGCTTATATTATTTTATCTTCTCCTTTGATGAACATTAGTCCCCTCTGACCCTGTTCAAACCTGACTTAGCTAATTAGTAAGAGGTTACCATAGGTAAGCACATGTAACCTAATAAAGCAAAGAACAGCAAGACGACCTGATGCTCTCTATACCCTCATAAGTACAGACTGTCTCTTTCCTGGGCCTTGTTTGCTGTGCACCCAAGTTACTTGGCTACTGTCTCTTATTTCTACCTTGGCAAGGCCAACCTCCCTTCAAGACTGGGAAAGCACCTCACCAAACCCTTCCTGCCGCGCACCAGGGAAGCAAAAGCTCAGGAAAGTCCCCAGATGCAAGCACAAACCACACAGCCACTGCAGAGCACCCGTAACTCACACAACGCAAACAGAACCTAAAATCTGAGAAACCAGTCTCCCCTGCTCTTCTAAGGGTTTCCACAACCAAAATGCCGTTTCCTCCAGCTCAGTCCCTCCTGCCCTTTGTCTTTTCCTAGCCCTTAGCAAGGTGCAATACATGCACAGGATCAAGGGCAAATCAAGAGCTTTGCTCAGGATGGAGCTGTGGCTCCAATCCTTGGTAGCTAAACCCTGCACTAGGGCTATTATGGGCATAGCTTCTCTCCACCCAAAAAGCCAAGATGAGGGCTGGAGGGAGGGCACAGCTGCATCTCCAGCTCATTGGGACCTACACTGTCCTTTGCCTGAGGGCTACCATGGTCACCTGGGGCAGGAGAAGGCTTGAGAGCCGAGCTCCAAACAAGATGAAATGCCACTGCAATTGTCCTCGCCCAAAAAAAACTATGTTGAGGGCTGGAGTCATGAAAATTGAAGATATCCTGATGAAGACAAGAAATACATATTACTTCATGCTGGACAAAGGCAGAAGTGCAAGAATTGCTATAAGTGTCCTCCAGAGCCTGGATGCACCCTCCAGGGCCAGGATAGAAAGGGCTCCCCAGCCAGCTGCAGCCCCGGGGCCGTGTGAGGAACACCACGGTGCCTCCCTACCCGACCAAGTGCAGGGGGCAGCAGTCCAGCCAGACCAGGAATCACCTTCGCTCAGATGAGGATCTAAGGGAAGAGGCTCAAGAACAACACATTTCTCTTTGGGAAAAAGAAATGTGCCAGAAGGGCATGGAAAGGGGCTTGTTTGGTGCACACAGGGGTGGACACAAGCTCTCTGACTGGGAGGGTGGATGAGAGGTGGGGGGAGTGTGGCAAGCAAATAACTCTTAACAACTTGTTTGGCTTGTTTGCCATTTGGTTTATCTATCTTTCTTCAAATTCTGTTCAGTGCAAGTTTTCAACTATCATTTCCTTCTCCTTTTTTTTCCATTTGCCACTGTTGAAGGAGGAAGGGAGGGAAGCCTGAAGGGGAGGGAATGAGAAAAATAGGAAGGAAAGAAACAGAAAATGAAGAAAGGAGAAGGAAAATAAAAGAGCTTTTGGCTTGATTGCTTTTTTAACAAACTATTTTCCTGGCTTCCCTTTCTGAAGAGAGGGGTGAAAATGGCCTTTTTCATGAAAAAAAACCATGAAAACTCTGAAGTGGTAATTAGATGCTTGACAGATGTCTGTCCTTTCTTCTATATACAGTGTTTTTCCTCCAACCAGGAGGAGCAGCACAGTATGGCCACCTCGTAACTTCCCTTGGACTTCAGCTTCAAATGCATCATGTCTTGGCATCTTACCAGCAATTACAGGGGAAAAAAAATCTCTCCCTCCTCTCCGTACCATCCCTTCAATAGTGTATTTACACCCTGGTGGTGTGCAGGAAGGGAGCAGTTTCCCCTCAACCCCAGAGGTCTCCAGAAGTGCCCGCTTCCAGGGGCTGATGGAGACCTGTCAGATCTGTCATATGCACGCAGCAATACCTGAGATGTTTGTATAAGTTTAGCAAACCATTACTTGGTCTCTAAGTATGCCTGCATGCTGGGGGTCTCATAGCAAAAGACAGCTTTTGGTAGCATTTTCCCCTGTTCCCCCAGCTGGGTGTACCTGGGTCACTGAGCTTTCCCTTAAACTTCCTGAGACTCTGTCAATCTCATCCAAAGCATCTGGATTCATTTCCTGATCCTGGGAATTTTGCAATTGATTTCAATGGGGACAGCAATACCTCCTCTGACTTTATTAAAAGATGTTGCTTCCTGGCAGAGGTGGGATGCTACTATCAGATTATACATAAGCAACAGAGGAACCAGTTCATGCAGTATTTATTTTCAATAACACAGCCCCACGTTTGTGCTCAAAACTGAAAAGTGATTTATTTCTATCTAGGATTTTTGCAGTGTTATCCGACTACCTCAGAAACAGGAGTGAACACATCTCCATGACTTCTCTGGCACTATGACACTACCTTACATCTTAAAGGCATGGCAGCAGGAGCAAAGGGGTTAAATGTCCTACCAAGGGTCGTACAAGAAACCCGTGCTAACGCCTAAGACTGAATCTGGATAGCAAGTCCCAGTCCTTTATCTTTCCTTTCTGTTGCTTGAAGAAGAGCAGGCAGGTTTCCTTATCAAAACCAATACCACCGTTTTGTCCATGGGTACTGCCAAGGCAGCTGCACCCCATGCCTGAAATCAAACCTCTCGTGCACAGCCCTGCTGCAGCTCCGAGCATGGGGAGGCAGCAGCAGAGCAAGCACCCAGCAGACACCCGGCACCCCCCAGGGCCAGTGATTCCTCCAGCTGATCGGGCTGTGCCACCCTGGCACTGCTGCTCCTTGGTGGCAGCCACTGGCTTGTGCTCTGGCTGCATGTAGAGACCCGCTGAAGGGAGCTGCTCCCCACACGAAATTGTGAGCAGCACTGCTGGGAGGGAGAGGAAAGAACACCAAAATACTCACCATGAGGCCCAACTGCAAGCCTCTGGATGTTAAGCTCTTCCCACGACTATTGCTGCAATGTGATATTCAGCTTTTTAAAAAATAAAAATAAAATAAATGGTATCTTATGTGGTGCTGCAGTCCTTTGCAGGGAACAAGAATGAGGTTTGCCAGCTATCTCTGCCTTTTACAGTAAATCATCTCCAATGAAATGATAATGTCCCAGAGAGGTACAAATTTTGATACTTGAATTTCAGTGTTCATTTCACCAACAGTTTTTAGTTTTTAAAGGAAAGGAAATTAAATGGGGAAAAGATTGCCCTATGTTAATTCACCAGTTAAACTCACAGGAAACTGCAAAAGATAAGGTTCCCATAGCAATTGGAATAGGTACTGCATTGCACAGATGAGGACTGATTTTCCCGCTTACTTTCAGTGCTGGTGGTTTATCTCCACATAGCACAGGGAAAAGCAATTACTTGGAACAAGGAACAAGGGAAAGGAGCCTGTGGCATCTCTGATTCTTTTTAATGGCCATTCTCCAGCATGGTTTGATGTGCCACTATTGCAACACAGCCGTGCACCGGTGCATATGCCCTCGACCACAGCAAAGCTCCTGCGGGGATCCTGCCACTGTCTTTTCCTGTGGTTTTAACTGTGAAATTCTGATAGGCATTCAAGCAGGTTTTGGCAGGGAGTTTTACAGCTGCAGCCTCCACAGGACAGAGCTGTGTGGCACCGCACCAAACGCTGCATCCAAGTGCAATCCCTCCCAGTCATCGCCTCACATTCCTGACTACCTTGGCAGCAAGAGACCTTTAATTTGACACAATCTGCTTCCAATGAACCCATCTTACCTATTAATTATCGCTTTATCTTGCCTGAGCTTATGATTATTGCACCCGATTGTGTCTTGTCTTGTCCCCTGAGCAGTCATCTGCAGCAAAGCCGAGGGAGCGGCATCCTTCTCCCATCCTCACCCCAAAGCTACTCTGCAGCACAGAATCAGGCCCATCAACTCCTTCATTAATTTCTCTACAAAATGCCCCAGCAGTGCAGTTAAATTTGTGGGCATGCAGTCCCCAGGGTCTCATTTCTCCCTGCTGTGCTGCAGCTCATTTTTTTTACCAACTGCTCTGGGACTTCTCCTTCACTCCATGAATTTTCTGAAAGAATTGTCAAATGTTCAGCTGTTTCACTCTCGGATGTGTTTTCACTGGGCCATGTAGTTTTGACCAAGAGCAAGTCCCCTAGGTAGTTATTCCTCACCCCCTTTCCATCCTGAGACTGACTTGAGATCCATCATCAACTATGATTGCATCGAGCACCCTGTCACTCTCTTCCCTTTCAGTGACACCTGAAGCCGTAACTACTAACACTGCAGCCTCCTTTTATCATTGCTGATGATATGTTCCTGGCTCCCTCTCCCTCGTACATAGGTGACCTAGCAATGCACTTTCTTTTGTCATCCTCCAGCTTCTTATGTACTTCTGAACCAACTTACTTATTCCCTGTGCTAACGCCCCATCGTTTTGTGCCTTTGCATCCCTAACTTTGCTCCTGCACACCTTTATTCTCTGCTCTCTCTCACCACTGTGGTTTCCTTTCCTCCTCCCAACACGACCGCTTTTTTTTTTTCTTTTCTTTTTTTGTTAATACATTGTTTTTCTCTTCCACACCGGTGTCAGTACTGGAGGACACTTCTGACAAAAGTGTGTTGCTCTCTCCCCAGATGCTGAAAGGGAGAGTTGTCCCCAGGGAGTCAAGAGAAATGCTGTCCCTGGTGGGTGCAACCAGCTGGCTGGAAGGAGAGCGTGTCCCAGGTGCTTCTGTCTCAGATGTGAAGGAGAGAAGGGAAGAGCCCAGGAGAGAAAAGAAACCACTTCGGGAAGGAGAGAGCGAATCAGTCCAGGGTATGGAGGAGACATCCCCAGTGCCTTAGAAGTGGGTTTCTCTCTCTGTGATGCTGAGCACCTCCTGGACTGGAGGAGACCATCCCTTGTGCTTCCCTTTGGACAGACCCGCCATGGGCTTCCCCCCCCGCCATGGGCTTCTTTGGCTGCGGCAGGTCCTCCGCTGGGGAAATCAGCTGTGTCAGCCGCTGCGGAGAGGAAGTCTCTGTTAATTAAGCTGATAAACAAACTGACACCCAGTAGTGATCCACAGCCATTGCTGGGGGCAAAGGCATCTAGAGAGCTAATGCTCCCAGCTCCTCTGCCGCTGAATGGCCATGAAAGGGAGAAGGAGAGCAGGCTCACTTTAACTGCTCTTAGTGACAATTATTCCACCTTTGGGCTCAAACCCGGGCCGTGGCCTGAAAACCTGATGTACAGGGCTCCTCACAGACATGTTTCTGGGAGAAAGGATGTTAATGATTAGCCCCACAGACATTTCCTGTGGCCATGGAAAAAACTCCGTAAAGCCCTTTTTTTTGTTTCCCTGTGCCAAGTTGCCATGCTTCCCATTGACTTAGGTGGGAGCTGTGGAGCCTTCCAAATGGTCTGACCATCAGAAAGTGCTAGGCATCTCCTGCTATGGTCCAAAAGAGGGTGGCAGATGATACCTACCTCAGTAGCACTTCCCTGGTAAAGCAGTCCCTCTACAGGCTGGTTCCTGCCCCCAACCCATCCCAGCTCCCCTCTTCCAGCCAGAGAAACTGCGACGGTGCAGGCAGGGGTTGTGGGGCAGCTGCCTGCCCTTAGCTCCCCTGTCCTCCGCAACGCAGGGGTGCTGCAGGCTGCTCCACACTCACGTACGCTAGTGTTGTGTCAGCTTTGGGGAGCTGATTCTTAAAAAACACAAAGCACTTTGAGCTCTTTGGGCAAAAGGTGCTGGCCCGCAGAGACAGCTTCTGTGAATTTCTGGTCTTTCTCATCCCATTTTTGAAGCCCCTCTGGTACCACACACCTTCCTGAGCAGCTGGGCTCCTCCCAAAGCCAAGTAACACACAGTGTCCTGCAGCCACCTGCTCGGCTCCATGGGCCAGTGTATCACTTCCCTGCTGAATACCGACTTGCACAGTTGCTAACTTTTTCCATCACAAGCTGTTCAGGCCAGCGCACGCTCCTCCCTTGCAGAGCGCATCACAAGCAGAGCAGGCAATTCATCCATGACTCGTTGGATTAATTTCAGTGCTTCCACTCCTTGTGAAGTGCCTGCCAGAATCCTGGATTTTGCTCATTTATTCAAAAGGATTTGCCCCATGATTTCTGAAATTGGCCTTGGCCTGCAGCTACTCTGTGAGCAGTTCATTGCGAATTTTCAGTCTTTGGAGCTTCAGCTGTCTTAATCAGACACATCAGGAAACAACATTTGTGTTTCTTGGTCACTCAAGTGTAACAAGATGAATCAGTTCTTCACAGTGACTGATCGTAATTACCAATTACAAACTTGTTTTCAGTGAATGGTTTGCAATATTCAGTTGAAAGGCACTGTTCCTGGAAGCATCTGTGTCAGGAAGTGAATTCAGTACATTTCTGGGGTGTGACTAGAAAAAGGGAACAGGTATATTTTGAGAAAACCTGTTTTCAAAACAGGAGGAGCTATTCCAGGAGGTAGCATGTGGTTGGCTTTCATTCTTCCCTGAATCAGCCCAGGCTTAGCAGCTGATCCCTTCCTACATGCCTACATGCCATCCTTGGAAGTTTCTTCATACTAATATAACTGAGAAGTCCCTGGAAATTACAACTAATATCATCTAAACCAGGGCAAACGGGAAAACCCTTAATCTGAAATTGGCCATATCAGTTCCTCAGATGTGCTGTAAAATAAGCATCAACACTACCCACAGCCACATTTCAACCCAAAGGCTCAAAGCACTTTGCAACAGGTGAGAAATATTGCTTGTTTAGCAGGCAGGATGTTCAGGCAATTACTTCACTGACAGCTCCAAGTCCTCATTTAGACATATGAAAACTCGGAGCTGTGGGGAGTCAGACATGTTGTCAGCCACCCAGTCAAACTCTTCAAACCAGCCACAGAAAAGGACAGATGCATTACTGCTAAATGGCCCGGAGCACAGGAGAGGGCTGTAAGAGGCAGGACTCAAGGTCTGAACTTGGGGCAAATCATTTCACAGCACCTTGGCACAAGATTCACCTGGAGTTCCTCATATTGGGAGGTGTTCATCTCCCAGCTCCCTCCCAACTTTGTCATCTCTTCATGGCCACCAACAGCAACCAGGAGGCCCAAGGGCCAAAGGCAGCTAAACAGGAACTATTTCATAGCATCATACTTCTCCTCCACCTCCCTGCCTGCATGACTTGTGCACTTCTCACTGTGTCACTGAGGACTTTTATCACTACGGTTCCTGCCTGGGCGTTGCACTGTATCTTCTCCTGAGCCTGAGATGAGCATTAGCCAGCTCTGCCACAACTCCTGTCATTCCCTATCAAGTCACATCTCTCAGCCAGCAAGAGCCCCTGTGGGCACAGATTCAGTCTCTGAGACAATGGAGCCAACGAGAACATCCTGCACCCAGCCAAACTCTGGCTGTATTGGCAGTGCAGGTTCCTCCTCCCCATGACCCCACAATGTGACTGTCATGCCTATGCCACAGCCACAGGGATGCTCCCGTTCCCTGTTCACCTGCTCCCCACCCAAACCAGCTGCAGATGAGCCTACAGTGAGTGAGGATGGGGAAGGACCAGAAGAGAAATTGTGCAGAAATTTATATGCACTGTACATCACTCAGGTCTTTCTTCATGGGTCAGGTGAGGTGTCATCTCCATGACACCATCTTCCTAGATATGCTTCTTCCTAGGACAAGGTGTCTACAGCGAAAGAGGACAGGCTTGGGCATGGCACAGGGTAGACCTTTACAGCTCTATGAGCATGTCCCCTTTAATAGCCACATGTCATTTCTTCAGAGAAAATAACACAGTCCCAACCCAGGACTAAAAGGGAAGCAGGGGCAAGGGACAAGAAGTAAAGGCAAAAAAGATCCTGGTTTTGCACCTGGTTTGCACTGGCACTAGTCAGTAACGAAAGAGGAGGCAAAGGTGGTTGCATGCCATCTTTACTTACGTGGCCAGGAGGACCACCTGAACCATAAACCAAATCAATCAGCCTGTGGCCTCAGGTAGCCCACACTGAGGGGGTCCTCTGCCACCCAGTGGAGCCAGTGTTAGAGACGCTCTGCATATGCCTACATATTGCACTGAGCATGGTGGTCCAGAGTCTCATGGGAGACTCTGGACATTTGGTGATCACCCTGGAAGCCGTGCTGAGACTCTCCAAGCCCTCTAAATTGCCAGCAAGAGCTGCAGGGCATTCTGGGGAAGGGCCACTCTCACCCCCCTTGCCTTCTCAGAGGAGAAATGTGCCACATACATCTTCCCTGGGGCCCTTCCCATGAGCCATCTGGGGAAAGCAGCAGCAACTCGCCCAGTGACCACAATCCCAGTACCTGCTTCAGGGGTCCTTTGGTTTTCAGGAGGATGAAGATGGCATAGAGAGGAACGCAGACCATGGAGGAGAGTGCCATCAGCCAGCCCACCACGTAGCCCCAGGTCGGGTACACGTAGGAATTGTTGTATTTCAAGGGCGTGTACTTGATCAGGGAAAACAGGAAGACAGCCTGGGGAGCAGAAAACACAGGCATAGCCAGAGCAAAGGGAGCAGCAAAGCCAGGCAGCCTGGCTGCTCTGAAAGCGCTGGCTGGGTGGCGGTAAGTGTGATGTCTTGCATGAGCTAGCATGGACCTTGCTAGCTGCAGTGAGGCAGAGCTTGGTGCATGCTGACCATACAAGGAGTTATCTCAGAGCCAGGGCCAGGCTTCTCTGCAGTGTAAAGCCTTCAGGTTTCTTAAGGGTTCAACCTAAGCAAAGTTGGCAGCAGCTTTGAGGGTCCAGCAACATTGAGACAGCCATTTATTCATATCAAAGTCAGGAATTGTTGTTGTCCCTGGCAGAAGCCCTCCAGAAGTACCACGCAGGCACAGATTTACCCCTCTTGAGGCTCTCTAGCCACAGAGCTCTCTGATGATTTGGGCTGGATCAGGCTTGCTTTGAAAATTTCCCTGATATTCAACTCCT